ACATTAAATAACATTAAATAACATCAATTAAACAGATTTCACTACACAGATCAAAGCCTTCTAATGGTTATCTGAATAATTTATATGCTCAACTCTGTCCAAGCTTTCCTTTTTAAACGTCCACTTTTCATTCAAGTTCATAAAAGCAAATATAAAAAAAGAGAGATAAGATTATCTTTATTGATCCCGGAAGATGGTTTGTTAATCTCTAGAACTGGGCTGCAGGTCAGGTTGTGGTCAGTGGCTGTGGCAGAGCTGGGACGGCCGGCCGGACAGCTGCTGGACAGTGAAGGACTCCAGAACTCTTACTGACCCCAGTACGGGTTCATAACCCAGGTTACTGGTGGCGTATCCTCCCCGGGGAAAACACACATTATTGTTTCGTTTTCGATGAGGCTTTATCACTACTGCCTGATCCTGATTGGGTGGCTGGAGAAGGAAGTAAGAGCATGTCGCGTTGTTTTCGGGCGCTGTAAACCTCCGTTTCCATTTGTCCGGCGGCTCCACATATTCAACTTGAACCTGGGTCTTGTGGGCAGTTTCTCTGGAAGTAAAACACAGCCCCAGCGTGGCTGACAGCAATGGTCAGGATCCACTTGACAGCGGACACACAAACGGATTTAAAGTGAGAGGTCACGGGCTCTTCCTGGTCTGCTGGACACGAGCGAGAAAGACACAAAGTGTTTGTGTCACTGATAAAGATAAAGTTGAAAAATCACCGCGACAGAACGAGCCAATGCAATGGACCATGTACGAGCCCAAGACCCACTGGAAGGAAAGGTAAAAAAAAAAAAAAAAAAAAGGTTGGAGAGACCTGTGGTCAGGAATAAAGAGCTGCCAGCTGACCGCTCGTTAGTTGCAGACGTCAGCAGAGGGGGTTATTTACAGGATTTTAACACACTATTCAGACTCTTAAGAACGAGTCCAGCTAAAATCGAAAGCTAAAGGGCAAAGAAGGATCTGAGGTAGAAGCAAGTTTTGAGCTAAAGAGGGCACTGATGAGTATCTCACACACACGCACACACACACACGGAAAGTGTGGAGACGTGTTAGTAAGTCCCAAACAACCTGTTTAGGCAATGCTGCCGGATTTATTGGTCATTTTATGTGATTTTATTGTGATATTCACTGGCAGTGGACACAGATCATATTCGTTTTTCCCCCTTCTCAGTTAGTTTTCAATGTTATTTGTAATTAAATCAGTTATTTGCTTAATAAAATGCTATTTCCCAGATGGTAGCAGGATGTCTTCAGAGTGCTTATTATATTCCGCCAGCTGTGCATGAATGAAATATTCTTTATTATAGAGTAATAAAATGCTGCCTCCTTCTCTGCCTAGAAAAAAGCTGTAAAGGTCTAATGATCAAATATTCTCTGCGGTTACTCAGTGTTAATATCATGCATTACTTATCTTGAGCAGCTCTATGGCTGTAATTAAAAGGGCGCCGTCTCTTTTCAGGGCGCAGCGGTGCCGCGGTACAGGGAGCACAGTGATGAGTCAGCTGACATGAGGCCGGCCGACAGCTCTGTGCCTCCCTCTCAGGTAAATCCTGTCTTATCTCCAAAGGGCTTTCATAGACACAACGGTTGCTGTGCGTCTTTGCAAGTGTGATGGATTATTTTTACCTCTGTCGATTCAGGATGAGAAGAGGCCCATTAGAAGGGTGCCGAGTCCGTCCAGACCAATAGCATGGATGACCAGTTCTTACAAGCCAAAGTTTGGGGGTCGATTCCAAAGGCCTCAGTAAGACTGACGTGTTGAGCACAGAAGGAACTTTTATGATTATTTTTCATTGTGATACCCTTAAATGACAAGGCTCTCCCCCATTGTGTAGTTTTCAGAGAGAAGATCATCCCATAAACAAACCTGGCTTCAGAAACCAGAGGTATACCCACCTGAAGACCTGGGCTCACAACTATCGCAGAGATCACCCCCCGCTGAAACCTCACCCCCCGCTGAAACCTCACCACAACGCTCCCAGGGAGCTGAAAAGGGAAAGCGACAAGGAGAGGGAAAAGGAGTGGTACGAACAGAGAGAGAGCATTGACGTCGGACGTTCACCTCCAATGCAGAGCAGTGAGTTTGGTGTTTGCATAAAAAGAAAAAGAAAAAAAAACACTCCACACTGATCAGGTCAGAGCTTTTCACAACAGGGCCAAACCCAACAATATGTGTATCTTGAAGAACTCACGTTATTACCTCTTAAAATTCAGTTTCTGACACCCCATCAGTGTCTCATACACCCATCTGGTCTGGAAACAGATTAAAAGCAAAAATGACCTCCTTATGATATAGGTGGGAAAAATAAATCAACAAAAAAGTGTGTCAAAGATGGTTAAGTGCATTTAAAGGTGGAGTTTGAGTGGAGAGGAGATCCAAAAGATTTTCAGGTGCCAAAACTTGAAAAGCTTTTAATAATGGATTTTAGAATGAATCGAGAAGTAGTTTTTCTTTTAACAGGAGGGAGTGTGCCTGCTGCATTCCAAAGCAGCTGCAGGCAGCCTAAAAGAGACTGACTGATGCCCGGGCAGAGGCAGTTACAATAAGCCAGCTGTGAGGCCATTAAGGCGGTAATAACTGTCTTTGGAGAAAAGAATGGATGTTGTTATTGACTAGAACAGATTCCTTTAGGCCTCCGCAGACATTAAGCCATGCAGTGTTTGAGGTTTCGGTTTACTATTCTGAGTAGTTTACAACAAAGATAAAAAATCTGGTCATTAGTCGTAGGAAAAAAACGCACAAACAGAAAACTTTCACATTGTTTCTTCCATTTTCTGTATCAACTTGCATTATCTTTGGTCACCATCAGGTGGCAGTGTAACCAAGCAGAGGCGCTCGCTCATTTTCAGAGAGATTTCATTTGCAGATATTTGGATTGCTGTTGCTCATCATGGTATCTGCTGGTTGGTAGATAGTTAGACTCCGGTGGCAACCGAACAGTGTTACATAACGCTGATCACTAAGAAGCTTTTCCTTGACTCAGTGTATGGATTATGCCATCTACAAGCTGCTCGCAGTGCAGCCAGCAGACAAACCTCAAGTGAACAGCGTGCTTTAGTTTGTTTAGGGAAGATTTATTACATACTTTCATCGCTATTGGTCAGTGGGATGGGTTTACACACCAACAAGAAAAACCTGTTTCGATGGTTGTAACACTAATTCCGAAAGCCACGTATCAGATTTTGTGCTCTCATAAAGTAGTGCGTGTTGTGTGCCGGTGCTGCCGAACGTCTTTATCTTCCCTCGCACACGGCTGCTTTATTTGTGCGCACACTGCAGCACTGTGGAGGTGTGTGTTTGTGTATGTGTGAATGTGGAACAGGTTTTTTGTGTGCCGGAGTGATGGTGTGATGATGGTGACTCATGCCTGATTTGTGTATATGTGAATGTGAGAGAAGAAGAGAGAAAGAGACTTGCCCTTGGCACATAATAAACCATAAACAATGATATGGCTTTATGTGAATACTGTAGTCCGACTCTGCAAGGCAGGCAGTTTTGTCAAAACATGTTTTTAGTGTACCACCAGTTGTGGCAAATCCATACCCGATGTGTGTATTGTGAACGGAGAACGAGAACCGTGTTAGCCGTGTTAGTATTTAGTCTAAACTTGAGCGAATGGATGTGATGTTGTGTTGACCTTGTGTTTTGTTTCTGTTCCAGCTTCGAGACCCGTCTTATCCAGCAGAGACAAGGACGTGCAGTTCACCGTAAGTTCACAAGCAGAAAACCTGCTCCGCAGCCCAGTTTGTAATGAAACCTGAAAAATTTAGAGGTCCATCAGCCCAGCACAGCAACAGATTTTTTAGTTCTTTCTTTTCACAATGATACCAAATATTTGATGTTCCCAGGCCCAAACATTTGACGATGTTGTGTTCCTTTGTATTCTTTTTGGTTGCGTATTGTGATTAATGGAATTTTGTACTACTGACGAGACATTTTAAAATGTTCAGTTCTGCTGGAGGATATTGTGATGTGCTTTTGGTGAGTAAATGACCACTTTAAGGACAGAAGAAGATCAGTCAGAGCTGCAAAATAATATGGGTACAAATTGTGATTGATTTCCCTTCATGAACATAGCAGGAAAAAAGGCCTTAGTGCAGAATTGTGATCTCCAAAATGTCAGAAAGGGCTGAAATATGCCTGCTGCACCAAGCTGAAAGTTACATTTTGCAGTTGTTGATTGCTCTTCTCTTATCAGTCCATTTATTGATAGACTAATTGTGCTTTCAGTCTGTCCTGTTCGCAGACGGATGTTATTTTCTTTCCCGCCTTACATCAAAGATAATGCTCACTTTAACCAAGCAGCACATGAGCAGCAAACCAACCAAATGGTTGTGTATGTTCATCTCAGATCTGAGCACGGTATGAGCAGCCCGTGATGAACAGCTGCTGCTTACTGCTGACATTAAGTCAGCCGGGAACGGAAATCAAAGAGCCCTTTGCTGTTTTTTTTATACGTCCTAGTAAACTTCATTTCATGAAGATCACTGAAGGGACATCATGAAGTGCTCAGTGGTTTGGTGGTGGAAAGGTGTTTTTATTTTAAATCAGTCCAGCCTGAGACTGCTTGTTAGGACCTTGGGGTTTTGTTTGCTTTAGCTTCATAGTATTCCTAGTATCTTTGTTAGCTTCGTGTGATCTTCTTGGTTTGTTGTTTCTAGCTTTTTCGTTTTATCCTAGATTAGTTTTTTTGTGTCTGGCTTCAGTTGAGCTTTTTCTTATCCTTTGAAAATAAATCTTGTTTTTTTCTTAAGTTCCTGTTTCCCTCCTGTGCGCCTTCCCATGCCCATGCATTTGGATCCATCCCCTTAACACACCACCATAAAAACTGTGACAGTGCTTTTGGATTTTAGATTTTAGACAGTTTCAAAAAGAGAAATCGGTCATGAAGCCAAGAACGATCTGCTGCTTCTTTTTTTTTTTTACATTTAGTCTCTTTATACTCGGTATTATTATGTTTTAAACATGTGTATGTGTTTTGAATGAATCCTTTGCAGATTAAGTATAGCTGGAGGTCAGCAGGCAAGGTGCATGCTGTGATAACAATGTGCTGTTTTAAGTGAGGTCTGCGAGTATTTTCGAATGGAACCTAATTTGAAGGTATTTTCTGCCTTGTTTAGCTTTGCATCCAAGTACAGTTTCCTTAAAGTGAAGCTCTCGAGATGTGACTGATAATTAGGTTTTAACATGAAATTCAAGAAGTTTAACATGCAATTTGGAATTGGAGCCTTCTATTTCACATTCCCACTAGTTTTGCAGGCTCAAAAGTAATTTGCTGATGGATTCATAAGCTGTTAAAGACCAAGAGTGGCCTGCTCTTTTTTATTCATGGAGATTAGGAAGATAAAAGGACTGCTATCTGTTCTAAGTGCTGAATTTGCATTGGATGGCTGTTCATATGTGATCTAAAGAGTTGTAGGAAGAGGACAATTTAACTTGGTCCAGCTCAGCAATTTCTTTCATTTCCCGTTCAGACCTAATGTAACACATGTCCTTCTTTTCCTTCCAAGCCTGAAATAATGTAAATGTTGCTCAATGTTTCTGAGTAAGTCAAAGTTGAATTGATAGATTTAAGATCAAAGCAAAACATGGAGTTTGAAACATAAATGTTTTCTTGAGGAGTTATTTGAAAACCTCTTAGAATGCCATATGATTGCACAAAGAGATACTGCTCAATTAATTCAAATGGTTCCTGAGGTAAATCAGGCAAAATGTTTGGCGTTAGCAGTAAGCTCACTTAGAATAGAAATTAGAAAAAAATAACTTTTTGGTTTATCCTTGGCTAATTATTTATTTCAATATTGTGATCTATGGCAAAATTGTGCAAATCCTTTACTTGTCCAAATATACATGGTACTAACTGTGCTTGTGCTATCCGTATAAAGATAATCATTAAAGGAAAAATTAGAGTTTTATTGACTTGCAAATTGAAATTTGGAGTTACCATTTGTGAGACACCCCCTTTTCTATTTCCTTCTTTGGCACCATTATACTTTCCTTTTTAGGTGGCCTTTGCTTCTTATAGATAGTACATTCTGATTAAAAAAAACTCCTGGGCTTTGAGAACATGTCCCTTATACTCTGAACTGCAGACCTGATGTGTTATTATGAAACTGTGGAAGCCAGTGACTCATGATTCTGGACTAGATGAATGCTTTCCTTGTTGGAGGCAGAAACAGCTGCAGATGCTTTGTTCAGCCCCTCTAACCATTTCTGCTATACATTTATGCACTGGGGGTCAGAGATGTGGAATAATGTGAAATGAATGCTCGTCGATGTTCAGGATTGAGTTAGCTCTACTCATTAACAATTGAGTCATTCTCAGTGTTTGCATCCACGTTTTTGGTTAGCTGTGGTATCCACGCACTACTACAATCACCACACCTGTTGAGTGTTTTTTTTCTGTTTTCTGTTTCTTATTTCTTGCAGGTTTGCCAGAGCATGGGCAAGAAAAGCAGGGAGAAAGATCACAGAGCAACCAATCACAAAGACAGAGGGCGAAGCAGAGATGGGGAGCTCCCTTTAACTGCGAGCCAGACGGCGGCACGAGACAGAGCCATCCAGCAGAAGAGGAGAGAGATAGATGAGGTGAGGGGATGTAATTACACAAACACAGGCCCATATCTCAGGATAAAGGATCGCTATAAAAAGAAAGTGGAGGCAAGAAGAAATGAAAAAAAGCTGTGTTACGGGAAAAGATGCGATAGCGCCCAGCGACATAAAACAAAGAACAGAATATGTATTTGCTGTTGTCTAAACATTCATTTGAGAGTATGGAGCTGGAGGCAGCATGGGTGTCAGTAATTTGCTGTGCTTAGTCAAACCTGACAAAGAAGGACATTTTCATTTATTCACAAGACTGATGGTGTTATTCTTCTATTTGTCTAACTGATCAAAAATGCCAGACTGACTCACCTGCATCATAAGAGGCACCAACACGTGCCTTAATACTCGCTTCAATGTGACAGATCTCACATGAGGCTGTGCTCATCGGCTTTGTGTTTGTTTGAGAGACTGTATGTGTGTTTCCACCCACTTGATGGAGAAGATGGTGCTTTTTTTCCCACATCTCCATGGTTGCAGGAATATAGAAACAGTAAAAAAAAGAAAAAAGAAAAAAAGAAAGCAGACTGGCAGCGGTATCTGATGCAGAAATGCTCACTGCGCGGTGGCTGCTTGTGAACAGTCTGCTCCCGAGCCTCTCTGTGGATTCTTAATCCACTCAGTGATAATGTAGGACAAGACTTCTTGTCAAACTCATTTGCTCTACTCTTTTCTCCTCATCTGCCCCTCCTTCGCCTCTCCCTGCCCTCCTTCCTCCATCCACAGTTTGCTCTGTGCCCTTAAGCCATGATTATGTTTGTCTTTCAGGTGTACTACCAGGAATGTGAAATGTTCGGCCTTGTGGCAAAGATGCTGATAGCAAAGGATCCTTCCCTGGAGCTTCCCATCCAGTCCTCGCTGCAGGAGAACCTCCGGGACATTGGGAAGCGCTGTGTGGAGGCCATGGAGAAATTTATTGAGGAGTACGACTCCAGGGAGCTGTTGCACTAATCACACAAACACACACAGTCCTGCCTGTCTTCATCAGGCTTCTTTTTTCAGTGAAATTTTTAGAATTTGATTGAGCGCTGCTTCTGTGTTTTCTTATTTGTGAGTCTTACTTGTTCCTGTTGGTTACCTAGACAAAGGCTCACACTATTTTTAATGACCAATGAATAACACTGGAGAATTGAAAAAGAAGTCTAAGAAATGTGATAACGGCAATAAGAAATGAATGCATTGTATGTTTTTAAATGCTATAATGAAAATATCTAAGTTTATATTTAATCTGACCTAATTCACTCGTATTTCCTTTGTTATATTTGAACTTTGTTAAAAATCTTATAAAGGAGTACATTGTCCAAACTATTCAATAGCTTGTTCGTGGGTTTAATGGATAAAATCAGGTCATAGCAGGAAATGGGTTAGACTTAATGGGTTAGTAAATAGGCAGGATATTATGCTCCTCTTTTACAAACCCAAAATTTACTGTAAGACAAATTATGTTATGCGGTGAAACAGAATCCCCAAGAACCATAAAATATGAAAAGGGTATCTGGGATATGCTTTTTTGGGTTGACGTACTAAATGTGGGCTGGCAGATCTCACAGAGGCTCTCGCTGTTCTGGTAAATGGGTCAGAGCAATGTTTGTGGATTGGTCAACCGTAATGGCCATCCACTGAGTGAGCACCTACTTTTACATGCCAGCTCCAGAAAAGCTCCAACTAGATCAGGGGACATCATTTAAATTTTTCTTTTACCACTTATGCATGTGTTTTGATTCATGACGTGAGTGGCTTGATCATGAACTCCTTGTTTGTTTTTTTCTTTAAAAAGAATTGTACAGTTAACTGTATTTTTACTAGAGAAAGGCACACATAAGTTGTTACTTAGTATAAACTGAATCTCCGTGCTACGCAACAAAATTAAGGGAGTGCTTAGAGGTGATGGAGGTATGTAATCTTGTCGCCACACAACAGGGTGCCTGGTTCGAAACCTGCCTGGGGGTTTTCTTTTTTAATTTAAATTTAAAGTGTATGTGTTGGTTTGCTTTAGGTCCTTCCACCCACTTTCAAAATATCACAAATATTTACATAAAGAATACTTTACTTTTAAAAGACTTAATCATGCAAGCTCCCTTTCAAGCTTTGATGGGGGAGAAAGGCTGTCCTGAAAAAAAAAGAAAACATGGCAAAATGCTTTTTCTACAGTTGTTACTTTATATTTTCAGAAATTACAGTTCTTGTTTTTTTTAACAGTTTTTTCAAGGAATCGATTTTGTTTTCTTAATATAGTCCTGAATCCAAACTACCCAGCAAAAATGATATTAGTGTGTTGTACTGCTACGTGATGGTCAAACTTTAGACAAAACGGATCCACCGAGTACAGTCTGTTAGACTGAAAAAGACGACTGCTTGGATGGGTGGCTATGACATGTGGTCCCTAAAATCAGCGATGCAAAAAATGTATCCTGTTATTAAGTGCGTCTCAACAGCTTTCGGAGAAGAATACTTTTGCTGGGCCTCACCAAGAGGCCAGTCTCAGCTCAGGTTGTTTAAAGTACACTTTATTTTCAGTATGAGACAACAACAACAAATCCACATGCAAGCCTCCCTATCTCTATCATGTTATACAAATAATGATTCTTTAGTTACAAAATATATAAATATTTAAGACCATATGTACACAACATTTACAGTACTACATCCATTATTAAAGTGTATTACTATATATACATTTAACAGGTATTTTTCTTTAATAGAGTTATAATTATTATTTGCATTATTATTATTAGTGTTAGGATTACTCTCATTTTTATTATTCTTAATCGTCTATAGGTAACTATCAAAAAACGAAAGCATGTTGCAGAAGAGAAAACGGGACCATACCTGACGTTACTGTGCCTGAATGGTCAAGAAGCAGAGGCTGCCTGGCGCTCTGTCCTTGGTAAAGCATGGAGGGCTGGCTATGTAGAGCACAATGTTCAACAGACTTTTTGTACAATAAGGTGATAACAGGGCTAGCAAGCCAACACTACATTCCAGCCGCATTTAGATTACACCGTGGTAAACAACGACATAGCTTGGAATCTAGAACATAGCTTTCACTATCCCAACACAATCTCGTTTGTCCACATAAAATAAATTGTCTGCTCAGGGCTTGGGTTGCTGAGCTGTGGCGTGACCGGCCAGATCACCGTAGATTGAACAGTTTGACGTTCTTTTCAGACGGTAAAGAAGTTGTTCAGTCTCTCTGTGACATGGATACACTCACAGACAGATGTACACATAAGGAATGTTTTTTTTCTTCATACGTTGACCACAGCATATGCTGAAGTCAATTCCATCAGAGCTTTCGAGTACCAGCATCAGAGTGGATCTCCATCAGTGTAAACAATCCTGTTGTGTAAGCCAGCTGAGCTTCCTCTTATGATTAGATCATTCTGTGTAGGTGTACACAAACACAACCCAGTGTAGAGTTGTGTAAGCTTGCAAGCACAAAAATGGGCCACTTTTTCATCTTCAAACTTACCACTTACACAAACGCTCGCAAATTGTTCACTCTCACTCTCAACTCTCACTCTCACCTTCCCACTCTCTCATCCTCCTCGTTGCCACTTTCTTCAGTCTTCTTACCTTTCTTTCATCTCTCTAACTCTCCCTCTTATCCCTTCTCATCTTCTTTCCCTATATCTAGGAAATAATGCAGTTTTTGCTCTTCCTCCTTTGGCGGGTGTGCAGCTGGCCATGAATTGGTCCGTGGAGTGGTCCATGATGGCCACCTATCCCAGAAGGAGTGTAGCGATGGCGCAGCTCCTCGTTATTGATGTAGCAAAGCTGCACGGGCCGAGGGATCGGTTCACTCAGGAAATACCCCTCATCTGTCTCAGACTCGGAGGAAGAAGAGCAGCTGGAGCACCAGGGATCATGAGCTTCCGCGTAACCCTCTCCCCAGCACGGCCCGCCCAGTCCTACGGGCTGCCAGCCAGCATTCTGCAAGGTCAGATCGGAGGTGGTGCGTGGGCAGGGTCGGTGCGGTTGCTGTCTGTACCCGCCAGCTTCCATACCGTACAGCTCTCGGGCAGCTTGGCCGGCCGGGAAGCGATCGTAATCCTCCTGAACACGACGGTAGGGAAGCTCCATCAACTGCGCGGGACGGTCCGCCACCAGGTGCAAGGCATTGTCAGACCGGGAACGGCGGGAGCGTTTGTGGTGGCGACCGCTGCGGTGCTGCCCATTGCCGCCGTTTCCGCGGTGGTGTTTGCGGCGTCTTGGTTGTGGCTGTTGTTGTTGGGTTGCGGGTTCCTGCCCGTTAATGCGTCGGCGAGGCATCCTGTCACTCATTGGGGCCACCCGTAGGTTTCCACTGCTGCCCATCACCCCAACTCGACCTTTGTCGTCGAAGCCCATCTGCTGCGGGCCGTCCCAGTACTGCAGGGGGTACCCAACCCTCAGTGGAGTGTACATGTTGTTGTTGTAGGGTCGAGAAGAGGACAGTGACTCTGTGCTGTGGAACTGGACTGAGGAACTGAGGGTGCCCATGTTGCTTTTTTCAGACACGTTCACACCCGAGTCCTTGCTCAGATCAGGCATGGAGAACCTGGACAGATGCTCCTGACGCTTACTGACTCCATCCAGGGAGTTACCTGTGGTAAAAGGTTATGAGATGTCAGGTTTTTCTTTCACATAGAATAAATGTGTACCTTGTTGTATCATTTATTACCTGTAGCATTGGACATAGTGAGGGAGTCCATGGATCCTCGTGGGGTTTGTTCTAGAGGAGTGAGAGGCTCATTGAAACTCATGGCAGTGATGTGGTTCCTCCTGGTCAGTGGGGGTCTGCCATCTCTCTTGAATCCGTGCAGACTGATGCTCCTCTTGTCTGAGAAGCCTTGGCTCTGGCTAGACATCTCGTTGAAGCTCATCTGAGTACGCAGTTTGTTGGGCCTGAACTCATCTTGGCTGTGGTGCATCCAGTTTTCATTGAAGGACTGGCCTCTCAGTGCAGCCATGGGGGTCCTCTTTGGATTGCCTTGTTCCTTCCCCCAGGAATCAGGTCTCTTCCCTGGATTGGCTGGGCTTTGGGCTGGTGGATGAGCATTAGAGTTGGGATTGTATCCCTGCCTTGCATTACACTGGCCCAGCAGATGTAAAGGTGCAGGAGTGGGAGAAGGATCCCGCTGAGGCCCTTCATAAGATGCAGGGATATAGGGGTCATCCCTGCTCATCCACACTTGATTAAGACTTGGAGCTCGGCTTGGAGTGCGGCTGGGTGTGCGGTTTGGTGTCCTGCTGGGGGTCTGGCTAGACGAGACGCTTAATCTGTCCATCTGAACAGAAAGGGGATCGATTTCAGCAGACAGACGATCAGGCATGGGTGGAGGAGCTGACTGGCGGGCCTCAGCACTCCGTCGATCCTGCTCGGCGTTCTTACGCTCCTTTTTCCCAATCTTGGTACTATGCCGTGACTCACGAGAACGAGCACTCTGGAAGGCTGAGTCTGAGGAATCAGATTCTTCTGGATCCTGATTGAATCAAATGAAACAGATTCAACAGAGTTGTAACCCTAAATAAACACATGCAATATTTGAACTCAACGATTTGATCAAATTTGAAGTCAGTTTTTAATTCCCCTCACCTGTCCAGCACTGCAGGACCGTGAGCAGAAAATCTGTCCCTGCTTGGGGAGGAAGGGACGGCCCAGCAGCGAGCGCTTGCAACGTGCACAGCAAAAGCATTCCTCGGTTGCATGCCAGTGCTGCCCATCATATGTCATCTGGCCTTGGTCAATGCCTTTGGAAATTCATGAACAAAATGTTTTTTCCACACGATATATAAAAATATCTATCCAGAAATGACAATTCACATGTATTTTGGCCACATAGAGCAGATAAACTTTTGATGAGAATCAACTGTACATTGGCTCTTGATTTTTAGGAGGGCAATGTAAATACATTTCCCCAGCCCTGCTTTCCAGCTCAAGGAAGTAATAATTTTTCAAAGTTCCCATCTGCGCACAACATGGGAGCTCCCTCCGAAACACACTCTTTCACTGTTACTTGGAATGATAATAACCATCCACATCTCACTGCACTGGGCCCGCCTCTCTGCAGCTGTGGCACACAGCCTCAGAGCTGATAACAGCCACACATTAGATTACAGTTTGAGGTATTATATCATGGTAGAGAAAGAAAATCATGCCCCTGTGTTTTTGTATCAGTTCAGATACTGTACATCAGATTGAGAAAACAAGAGTTGTACCTATGTGCTCTCCGCATGCATCGCAGTACTCTGCATAGAGAGACTCGAAGCAGTTGCAGCAGTGTGGCCGTCCGTCCTTCATGATGTAGCGCTGTCCACCCAGTGTGGTCTCACATTCATAGCAACAGAAGTGCTTCATGTGCCAGTGCCTGCCCTCTGCCTCAGTGCATTCATCAGCAAAGATGATCTGCGTGATCAAGAACTTACAGTTACTGGGAGACATAACACTCATGAATAAGCTGAATTAAACTGACTACAAACACCACAAAAAAGGGAATTACATTTTTTTTAAAACTAGTTGTATGAGTAAATGTTTTTAACATAGACTTATTATTTCTGAACACATTTTGTATTCAGTGGGGATCATATGTTTGGGTATCTCTAGGCTTATGCATTGGGTAATTGTTTTTTGTACACTAAATTTTTCACAATAGCCATAAGAGAGTCATTTTAGCCTCTCTGTTTGTTCTGAGTTTTGATTTAAAGTTCTTTCAGCTGTCTTTTGAGACGGAAGAGGTAAAACTACCAAGTGCTGCACATGAAGCAGTCAGTTCACACAATTAACACATCTAATGTCGAATAGCAGCTGGAAAGAGTGAACATACTTAATCTTGAGGCTTTTCTCAGCGTATATGACACATGACATGACAATAGTGGGTGGAACCGGGTCCCTGCTGATTATTAACAACCGAAAATAACATTAAGAAGTTTAAAACCTAAAAAAGTTTGCTAGACATATTTAATGCTTGTCACAAAACAGTAAGTGTTTAGATGGGTAACTAACGAACATCAAAAATGCAAAATCTTTTTATTTATGTGTTATCAGCATGTCAAAAACTGCTGTGTGTCTGCTATACTTACAACATGCAGATGTTGCAGCTCTGATAAAAACCGAGACCTCTACTTAGTATAGATCGTTTTTGTTTGTTGAGTTTGTATCGTTGTGAGATTGTTTCATTTATTACATTAAGAGGGTATTAAGAGGTATTTAGTTGAAGCTGTATTTTTTAATAAAGAAAAGGTCTTAATTAGGACATTATTTTATTTATTTATATATTTTAAAGGAGGGCTACAATTTTGATGCTGGTTGTTATAGATTGCATTTTACTACCGAAGCTATTTTTGTACCATATAATAAAGCATGTTCATTAACATCTCAGAAGCCTGTCTGAATCCATCTCGAGGCAAAGTGTCCACTTTTTTGGAAAATAATATGGTCACCCTAAGCTATGTACTATTCTGCCATTTTCGACCACAAGTTGCTCACGGCCTAGACAGCCGTACCTCATCACAGGCACAACAGCGGGGTTTCAGCCTCTCAGCATGGTGCCGACCACAGTAGATCTTGCCATCTTGGTTGAAGTATATGAGATCCACCAGCAGTTCCTCACATGTACAGCAAACAAAGCAATGAGGGTGCCAGCATTTTCCATGCCCTGCCCTGGCAGCAAAAACTACTATGTCCCCTCCATTTATCTGAGTGCCACACTGTGGAGGAAAAGAAAGGACAGGAAAGGAAAAAAAATGAGTTAATGGTTTTCTTGGAATCTATAATTTATTTAAATCTACTTTGTTTAGATTCTGCAAGAAAAAAGTGAAAATGTGAAATGCAATTTGCCAGGTTTACCTTTTCACAGACTGCCCCGTTAATGGTGAGGGGGAAAGGACGAACGTTGCCTCGGCCTAAGTTGTCCTTCTTCCTCTGGTTGCTGAAGAGCTTAAGCTCGCGTTTCTCCTCCTCGTCCAGCGCATTGCAGTAACGTACCTGAAGCATGAAGGCTCATCAACAGGTAGCCTAAAAAACTAAACACTTAGAACTACTTAAGATCAGTAATGCTCACTCTTGAATAACAAACAACATGGAAGAGCTACCTCATTGTCGTGTGGTGGCAATTGGTGAAGCAGCTGCTTGATGCGATACTTCTCCCCGGGGCTGTTAATGTAGGGAACCTTTTCCTCTGGTAAGGAGTTATAATACTGATGCACCTAAAACAAAGAGATATAGCTCTGATCCTGTTTTGAACAGTCATTATTAAAATGAGCCCAGTTCTTGTTTGTTCCTTGCTGTTAACGACAGGTGTGTCATAGAAGTCCTGTCAGGTACAGGGTTAAAATGAAATAGCACTTTTCTTTTTGCTGTATGATTTAAAATGCACCATACTATTAGACAACCTAATATGTAAGAGTCAACCAAAAAGGTGAAGGATGGAAATGCAGATTAATATAATTCTCTACGGTTAGCATTGCACAAAACGCTGGTTACAAACAACTACTTATGTGGTCCACTGTATTGTAAGCCTAGTTTACACAGAGGTATTTGGACAGAGTGGCCATATTTAAATGTATGCTAGTATTCATAATAAACTTTTTTTTCATAAATGTACATCCAAAACCTGTGTATTTTTCATCTGAAGTGTGCTTTTAATAATTCTTTCATGGTGTCCTTGCCAAAGGAATTTATGTTTATGTTTATGTTTTGTCCTCTGTCATTGCTGACCTTGGGAGTCAGTGTCTGGAATTAAAAGTGAGCCGCACAATGAGCTCTGTGCTGCTGCTGAAAACACAACCTTGAATAAAATCAGGTTCTTTAAAGAGGTAATATTCAAATCGCTTTAAGGAAATTTCAGTTACTCTGTACTTAGAATTCATCGTGCAGTGTTGCTCAGTATCCACAGCCTGAATCTCTTGTACTTGTTGCATGTTTTTTATACAGATACGAGAGGAAATATTCAAAGGAAAGCAGGCAATTTTGTTGTGTATTTAATATTCAGCAACCAGCATTTTATTCAATGTTACCCATGTCCAGTGATAGTTTAAAAAAAAATCTGTTTACCTATTAAGATTTGTGTGGAAAGTGAGGTAGAAAAAAATAAATTATTTGACGCATACACTCATTCTACTCCTTTCTCCAACACTTTCTTATAAACTATTACGGGTGCTCACACCAAAACATATAAAAGTGTTAAAGGATGAGAAAGAAGAAAGTGAATTATAATTAACTGCTTTACTGCATATTTGCAGTTAGGCTTTAAAACACAGCTATCTTACAAAGTGGTTACAGTGATTTCTTTCTGTCATAAATCATACATTTTTATGTTCTAATTAATCCTTTTTGAGTGAAAATGGTCTCTTGTATTATCCCCATTTTTGTCCTTGAGGATTGATTTAAGGATCAATTACACTTTTTCAAACTTATAGATCGGAAACTATTATACACATGGTATATCAGAGAAAGAATACTAATTATTGATGTGTTGAGTGGTGGCTGTTATGTCTGGGACATTTGTCTGTCTAATTTCTTTGCAAAATCAACTATTTAGAATGACATTAGGAATAAAGTGAAACATGGGCACAAGCACAACGTAGGTCATTTTTGGTGGATCAAGGCCACATCTCATAAAACAGTAATATAGGCCTCTGGTCTTGGTGGTGGCTTGTGCTCCCAGTTTAATAATCTTTTATGTTTGCAGTTACTAGAAACTGGGCCACAGATGGCCTAGGATAGAAAAAAAGCCACAGTTTGTCAGTACTTTGTCAAAAGCGTTGGAAACAAAACATTTCAACAAGACAATCCTGACATGGTTCTGTCTTAATGAGCTGTAACTGTAGTCAGTTTTGGAGATTTTGACTTCTGACAGGTCCATAAGCCACTGGAAATGAAATGATTTCCTTTTTTAAATACACTGTACAGACATAAACTAGATGTGACAGGCTTAAAAATGATCACATTCAAGAGCATTAAGTAGGAAACAATTGCCTGCACCTCCTGCTGGATGACAGAGGCTGCAGCCTCTTTCAGCATCCTGTCAAGATGGCTGACTGGAGAAAATGACTGTTATCAGCCCATCCTGTCATCTGCTAACAGAACCCTGGGAGGCCTGTTGCATTAGAGTGTTTCACGCACTAAATAAAGATAGGGGGCTTTTAAGCCAATACAGTTGAACAGAATGTGCCTCTTGTTTTGGGATTGGCTAAAATACTCCCGAAATAGAATAGGGAGAGGAAGATATCTTCCTCTGATTGCATTTGCTTGGTCATGCATGGAATAAAAAGACATTTAAACTGCAAATTAGTCCAGACAGGGGATTGTGAAAGCAAGCTCAAACAAACAGCAACAAATTTTCAATTAGATTCAGTGAAACATTCACTGACTCTAATTACTTCATTTCCACTGGGTTTAAATTTGCAGGGATATGTTAAAATATAGAACTAATTGAGACATTTCGTTCCAAAAGCGTCATTACCGCCAGTGGAATGTAACACATATGGTTATGTAATCGGACATTATCAGGAAAACTGCTTTTTCTGTGTATGAATTTTTCCTTTACATTTAAAACAAATAAAAGAATAACGTACACTTGTACACTTTGAAGGCATCAATCAGAAATCAGAAATGGCTTTATTGGCCAAATGTTCAGAATACACAGCGATTTGATCTGGTTTTCCAGTGCAGCAGGACAGTTTAAATAACAAATTTGAAAAAAATGGCAAGAATAAGGTACATATGATATGTTTGGGTGTTTTTAGGTGTCTGTATCTTTAAGAGTCTGTAGAAGAAAGGAAATTAAATTGTTTCATCAATGTATTAATCACTTAAATGTTGTTGTTCAAACAGTGAATTCTTATTCCAGTGTATGATTTTTTTTTTTACAGATTTCAGTGAACCCCTCATTCTTTCTGACTCTGAATTAGGTTCTTACATTCTCAACTGTGACACCTGAAAAATGTCCTTACAATTATACTTTCATGAGAAGCACGACAGCTGGGTATGTCAAATTTGTACTGTTCATACCTACTTCGAACCCAAATGGACTTAAACACAAAAGAAGGGGATGCATCACAGTTCAGATGATCAAATATGCTCAGATTTGGATGGACAAAAAGAAGGTATAGAAAATGAGGCACTAAAATGACTGTGTGTGAGGTACCTGCTCAGGACTGAGGCCGGGGGGAACCCAGACATACTCTTCCAGTGCACATCCAGAGTCATCGTCAGAGGTGGAGTTCCTCTGGAAATCGTACATCAACTTGGTGATGGTTTTCTCCATCTCCAGTGACATGGCTGTCACAACATGCTCCTCTGAACAAACAGCTTTGTTGGACACAGGTACTCCTGTAGGAGGAAAAGACAAAAGAGTGAATAGGATACAAAAAGAGAAGGAAAATACTGAACAGGAGAATAAGAAAAGAGAGGAAAGTTGTGAAAGTTTTAAAAGGTTAGTGAGTCTTCTCTCACCACTGCTGGTCATATTATGACGATGAAAACTGTGATGAAAAAAAACCCAGTTTTTCCTTCATTTGATTTAAACTGATCTGTATGAGGACATAAAAAACAGAATTAGCCCGTGCTTATTTGCATCACTCACTGAAGGTGATTTGTCAATTTCCTGTGGCCACCTTCAGACACTGAGTTTTATAATCTGTAAAAACGGGCTTCATTCACATGCATTTCTAACCTTTGGTTCAGTGGCTTTGAATACATTATGTATTCCCTGAGAAACGATCCATCACACGTCATAGCTCGCATTTCTTTTTTCTGGTACTGGTGTTTTAAGCCAAATCTCTTAAAATGACTTCTGGAGGAACAGATCATAAATTAAAGTGGTTGCTATTAATCTCACTTCATAGTATACACCCTACCTCTGCACTCAGCATTCAAAATATCATAAAAGAAGACCAAGGCTATAAACATACTGTCAGCTTAAATATGTCTTATTCGGAACAGCAATAAACCTCGTTAAAACTGTTTCCCGCACATTGGATCCAAAGTACATTGGAATAGCAGGGCAAGGAAGTCAAACTTTGCACAGATCCCTGACTTTTTTGTACATAACATGTAACAGAACTCACATTAAAAATATCAAATCCAGGACAGACTAATAACAGTTACACTATCAGCAGATACTGAGGATTAAAACAATGTTATTATTACAAACTTTATCACAACGGAAAATCCATATACATTTCATTCGTGGGCAAAGAAAACGATAGAATACTTGAAAAACATTTGAGAAACAAACCTAATGGGCAGTCAGTGTGGAAAAAAGATCATCACACAAACGTACATAGAATAATTATTGAAATTCAAAATGATAAACTGGAAAAGGAAACCCAAACATCTCCAAATTCAAAGAGAATCTAGAGAAATGTATGAAGAAAAGACAACTGGACCCTCATTGGTGGTGTCAGGGGGTAGAGAAAAGAATACATTCATCCTTTTTAATTGGTTTTTAACTTTTAGCCAGAGAATGGACGGACCAAAAGAGTGACATTTTTATTTATAGCATAGATAGAAGTACATTTAGATTCCTTTCTATCAAAAGAATATCCCATCAGCTCTGTAGTCTTAGAAACCACCCTCAGCAGGAGCAGCACACACCATTTTGTCTGCAGTTATAGCTTTGATTGAATGAATGGACAAGAGACCAGTTTGATCTTCTTCTCCTCCTCCTCCGTTCTATGTGAGAGAGGAGCAGCTGCACACTGGCACATGAATAATTAAAAGAAGCAGGTATCGCCTCCACCATCAAAGTATGAAAATAACTCATTTTGCGGGTAGCTGGAATATCGAGCCAACCAGCTATCGGCACAAAGGGTGTTGTTTGTGTGTGATGGCTTGTCATCTTCAGAGATGCTGAGTAGAGAGTTTTTCAAATCTCTCGGAAATGTGCTTTCTCGCAATGTCAAAGCCTCATAAAAATGGAAAATCTAAATTCATGACTTAACGTGATGTTGTTGTGAGAGCACGGTCTGGCCTGTCGGTCAGATGTAAGAGCATGTGAGATCAGGCATTCATTTGGTATCCACAGGCATTGTATTAAGGTCTTCCAAGTTCACTTACTATAACGACACTGAGTGATGGTTGGTGCACGAGTGTGAACAGGCCCGACATCTGTGATCCCGCAGGATTTATCCTCAAAAACTATGCGGCAGCAACACTATTTTCCCACAGATTAGATATCACAGAAAAGCTAAGCGTAAGCGGTGGCCCAGGAACAGCAGACATTTCCACAGACTGAGCCAGTGAGCCAGCCCCCATCTCAGCAGAACTGAGTAGAGTTTATCTCTCTAAGATGGGTGCTGCTGATTTCTTTGTGAGGAGAGATTATAGGTATGTAACCTTGAGCATCCAGTATGGCCCGAGGCTTCTTGTCATTAGCGCGGTGGGGCTGGGCGACTACGACTGCTGAGTATCCCGCAGCCTCTTAGACATCAATTCGAGCACGAGTTTTTCTGGAAACATTACAGATCAGCGATTCCGTGCTGAAGAGCGGAGCAAAAATTAATATCTTCACTCTGGCACCAGCTAAGTTGCAGAGAGGCTGGAATTTGTAATGCATTATGGTGTGTTTGTGGTGCCAAAAATCCCTTGATGATGTTATTCTGTGCATGAAGGGAACATTCCAACATTTCGGTTGTCACATAAGAAATCTGATTTAAAGATCTATAAGGATGTCTTGTTTTATGAAACAACATTTTTACAAATGAGACTTTCTGTGTAGTGGATTTAAAAATGGAAAAAAAAGAGCAGCCCTTTTCACTCGAGGAATTATAAAGTCCTCCATACACGGGCATGAATGTCTGAGTAAACATAGATGAGCGGAATCGTCTAAACACAAACGGGGAATCATGCTGTAAAAGATTAGTGTACATGCATTATACTGTTCTTATCTTAGCTGATTTTAGTAAATAGACAATATTTGTATAAACTGCAGAGGAAAAAAAAAAAAAATCAAGACAACTTGCATATGAAATGCTTTGCAAACTTTGTTTAAGTCAACAGATTACAAAGCGAGAGCTGGAATCCAACAACTTCATGAGGTAAAGAAATCAGACAGTGTTTGGTAAAAAACAAAAACAAATCTAAAATGTGTGGAAAGGAACAGATTTATCGGATCAAAATTAGAAATGTTTTGTCAATACTTTTGAGCTAAATCTTTTTTTCATCAAATTTTCACACTAAACATCACACAGCTAACACAGAGCCCTGATCTGCTTAAGTATTTGGTGTTGTAAATTTTTCTTTTGCACTGATGGATTTTCATGTTATAAAAGACACAGTGACTGCATTTGGTATAACTTTGCATAGAAAATAGTACAGCGGGAGGAAAGCAGCTTATAATGCCTGACTTTCAACAGATTGAAGAACGTATTCAAGCAAGACAAAAGTACAAAAGAAAAAAAAAAGTTTTGTTCAGATATTTCAAAGCAAAGTGTGCACAGGTGAGGTTACTGCTCTACCTTAGGTGTCCTTTCCCAACGTACAGATGTTCAATGAAGCAAGGCCTTGACTCCTATGTTTGCAAGACTTAAATACAGAAGACATGAGGGGACGCATGACAGCTCTTTATGTGCAGCTTTACTCTTGTTAGGCATGTCGCAAACATCATGGATCTGCCTCTGACTGCAGACGTGATCTTATCCTCTATCTAACTCCTCTGTCTGTGAGAAAAGTCTCGCATAATCTCAAAGCACTCCTTTAAATAAATGAAGTTTGCAGAATGAAACGATACATATTTAATAAGTCATTTGTGGAGAACAGTTTGATGTATTATCCTTGAACATCCACCGATGATACTAGTGTCAGTGACTGCTGTTGCCCTATACTTGCAGCTACTGACTGTGGAATGGTTGACACCAGCCCTACGGTTAATTTGTTGTCTTGACTTAAAAGCTATTCTTGTAAAAAGACTGCTGAGTTCATGAGCGAGAGCCCCAGGAGTTTTTTAATCCATTTTTCGGTAACAAAATCTGCTAATATAGGCTATTGCTTGCTGGTTTGAATAAAGGACGATTTCCTCTATTTTTTAAAGCACAAAATGACTAAAAACGTCAATGAGAAACCTGGGAAATTCTTTTTGCAGACACAAACAACCACAAGCACATTGTAAGGCTGAGAGGAGGACAGCGTCATTGTTTGCACCGGTGGTTCGATTATTGGTCCCCTCTGCTTATTAGGATGTACTGTGAGTCTCAGCTGTGCGTTGTTGAGCAGACACACAACTTCCATGTCCAACAGTTGCAAAAACAACGGGCCATCTTTACACCCAAACTTTTTTGCCTGAATGCACTTGCAGCTTGTACAGAAGGCTGCTGATGAGTGTGTCACTTTTTGACGTAATACACACTCCCCAGGCTGACTGGTTAGTCATAACACATTTCTCTGTTCTTCCCCAGCAACACAAGGAGAGCGGAGAGACAAGTTGTGAATTTTTGTTCCTGGACGAGGCTTCCTTTGGGTTATCAATTTGTCAAGACAGAAGAAGAAGTAATGACTTGAAGATGAAGGATAAAGTTTTCAGTTCCCTGTCTTGTCGGACTTTAGTTATGCTTTTGTTTATATTCACCTCCAATCACACTAAAACTGAAAGGTGCACAGTTAATTGTTAATTTAGCAATTTATTAGTAACTTATTTATTCAGTCTATAAAGTATTTTAGGTGTTTACATTTGTGTATCACTGAAAACATTTAAAGAATTCATGATTTATGCGTCTCTGAATAATTTTAGGATAAGAAAAAGAGCAGCAAAGACTGACGACAGTCCTTTAATGACATTTATTAAGTCATTTAGTTTAATGGTATGAAGAATACTGCTTTGTCAGAATGTTTCATATTGAGAAATCTAAAATATTCATTTTTAATCCCAGCAAAGGTATATTCAGCCTTCAGATTTGGGATTTTAATAGTCATGAAAGAATCCTGCTCCTATAATTAACTGGCTTTAAAGGCAGAAACAGATAATTACGTACAACATAGCATCAATTGATTGCACGATGAATTAGGACATTTTCCACCTCAACCGAGTAAACTAATCAGTGAAATGTGACGGGTTGGAATAAAAAGCTACGATTTGTCTTGATATCTGCTCCATTTCTATTCAACGATTGACTTTTGCACCATGATCGTTTGAAATCACTGATGCAGATGAATTGGCAAAATGCCAGATGTCTTTTTGACTTTTTAGTAGTTACTAAGGGAATGATTGGATCACACTATGGAGCTGAATAACTGCATTTGATGCAGTATGAATTCAACTGAAATTATCTCACATTTGTGGATTTCACATTTGATTTAAAATTATTTGCATCCTGGAACAGTGTATGCAAGAGCTG